CTTACCAGCTGGGTGCAGTCTCTGTGTCTCTGTGTGTCTGCTCCTCACTCTCAAGCCACAGCCCCCCCAGCACTGATGCTGCCTATCATTCCTGACCCACAGTAACCCACACCCTGCCAGGGGGTATAGGGACCCTTCCTTCCTGAGCTCCAATCCCTCCCACACACCCACAGCCCCCCACACCTTCACAAATAACACCCCCCACCACACATGCACACATTTCAAAAACAGCATCTTATGATTTATATGCCAATCTCTTTATTTTTTAAGATTTTGTCTCATGATTTTTGGACCAATGGGGTTGGCAATACTGCTGATGCTGATGCATGAAAGTCCTTTCTGGCCAATGCAGCCACTGCTGCCAATAGGAAAGCCACAGTTCTAGAGAGGGCAACTATTGCCATGGCCACAGCTTTAGAGAAGGCAGCAAATGCTGTGGCCATGGCATCTACTGCTGTGGCCATAGCTATAGAAAGGGCAGCTTCCACTGTAGAGGAATACTACCGCATCCAGGCAGCGAGGCTGGTCTAGCACCCTCCCTCTCACCACAGACATTAGCCCCAATTTCCAGCTGACTTCAGTTACCATGGGGATTAGCCATGTGCCCCCTGTTTCCACACTTCTATCCCTGCCTGGCAATTGCCACTAGGTGGTCACTGGGACTATAGGGATACACCTTGGGCACATTACAGACAGTATGACCCCCATGATACTATCACACCCCAGGGGTACAGGATGGCAAACCAGGAGAGTGGCTCTTAGTGGCACATCCAAAAGGGATGGCCTTTCTCTTCCCTGGAGGGGCAAGGAAGACCACCAGCATCCTAGATGTCTGCACCCCAACAAAAGACAGCTGCTAGGCTTTGATGATAACCTGACTCAGCTCCCCACCAGTGCAGAGTCAGAGCACCCAGCCATGCAGTTGCATTGCTTAAATTCCAAGGAGCCCCCCATGTCATGCTGGGGTGAGGCATAGTCAATGTGCCACAATGCTCCAAGGCACCAGGGGAAATGGCAGGCAGCTCCCTGTCTATGCCATGGTTTTGTTTTGCAGTTTGCCCCAGGTTCTGCTATTTGTACCACTTTGCCGTTGACACTACTGTATAGCTTGCAGCTTGCACATGTGCAGGTTTATGTTTACTGGGAAGCAAACAAAGTTTGCACTTTTTATGCATGTCAGCAGTGAGCTCCTTGTGCACTTCCTGCCTACATGCCCTCTCATACACAAAGCCCCAAATGCGCCTCACAGGTTCCCCACATATTCTCCTCCAGTATGCATGTGTGTTAAGCTGGGGCAGGAGGGGAGGTGTGGGGGACAGACATATGAGCTGACAATTGTGTGCCTGTGGTAGTTTCATTGCTTGGCTGGCTCCTTTCCCAGCAGACACATCCTGTATACTCCTCCTTCCAACACTGCAGTGTGTGTGTGTGTGTGTGTGTGTGCGCGCGTCTGTGTCTGTGTCTGTGTCTGTGTCTGTGGTGGGGGTGTGCTACTGCAAGTACTATGCCAATAATTCACAGATCTTTCATGATGTATCTGGAGAGACGGCCCCTTCCCCAAGCCTGGAATAGGAATGCACCAGTGAGTATACTGGCCACTGGCAACTGCCCCATGCCCTATACTCCCTGCCCATACCAAAGCCTTGTCTCAGCCCATCCTGGTGAATGATCACCATCTCTGAGCCTTGGGGAGTGGGGGAAAGCCTGAGGTCAGGAAGCTTCCAGCCTCCCCTTGAAACACTACCCACACCCCAATCCCAATTCATCAAAACATGAGACCTTCTTTAATTTACTTCCACTTTATTTCTTTTAAAATTATTTTTATATTACTATTTTAATGTTATTCCTTAACAGGAGCTGACTTCCTTCATTTCATCACCCTTCCTCCACCCCTATTTCCTTTCCACCTCCAATTAACTCTTCACTCCCAGTTACATGTTCCCACCTGAACCCCTCTCTTACACCTTTCCCCATAGAGCTGGGATAGAAACCTGTCATGGCTCATCAGCCAGCTACTAGCAACTCACAGCCACAGCTCCCAGTCCTGCCACTGCTCAACAGGCCACTAGTGCAGGAGTGGGCAATTATTTGGGGTGGAGGGTCACTTAGAGGGTTTTGGTAAACTGTTGTAGGCTGGGGGGTGAGGAGCTGACCCTTCCCGGCATGGTGGTGTGGGGCAATTGATCCCATATGGCTGGGCCTGTCTGCTCCACACCCACTGCTAAGATCAGTGTATGAGTGGATGGGTGCAGTCTTCATGGAGACTAGCCTAGGACTCCTGTGGGCAGGGTGCACTTGGCCAAGCAGATGGGATGGGGCTATGGGTGAGCAGAAAGTAGCGTCCAGGAGCAGGATGGGATGAGGCCAGGGCTAATGCTAGTATCACAGGGCAATGACAATGCAGGGCCAGGGCCCAGGGCAAACCTGTGATCTCCTCCCCACATGTCCTTGCCCAGAGAACCGGTCTCCATCACAGGGGGGTGCGGGGAGCAGATTTCGGTTCTGCCCTGGGCCTGGGCCTCAGTCCACACTGTCACCACATCACAATCCTGGATCCAGCCCTGGCTCCACCCACCCATCCTACTCCTGGATGCTGCTTCCCACCTGCCCATGACCCCACCACATCTGCCTAGTCGAGTGCGCATTACCCATGGGGGCCCCAGGCCAGTCCCCCACCCACCCATTTGCCCACTCCATCTGAGCCAGGGTGCCCAGGCAGTGGGGCCAGGGCCAGCAATGCTGGCAACCCTGGCAGTGTCAGTTGGAAGGAGTCACAACTGCCAGAGCTGCCAGAAAGCTGAATCCAGACAGCATTCTGCCCCAGACCTGCTGCATGCCTGGGGGCTGTGGGACTGGCTACATGCATCATGGCCTGGGCTTCCCCCTGTGTCTGGGCCAGGCAGGGCTGAGGGTCCCACCACAGACCAGATAAAATCCCTTGGCAGGCTGGATCCAACCCAAGGGGTGTATTTTTCCTACTCCTGCTCTAGTGGTAAATCATAACTGTGCAGGTGGGGACCATCAGGGAAGGTTTCTAGACTAAAGGTGTCTTCAGACTCCAAGCTAGCACAAACACTGTTCACAGTGTAACATGTAACAAGACCTGAACAGAACCACAAGGTTTTTCAGGTCAGTATTGGTTATGACAGACTGATGTTTTACAGTAGGTGACAGACATAGCAAAGTATAAAGGGCCACTGCAAAGGTATGTATTACAGTCCACTTCTCAATGTTTGTGGGAGCATCCAAATATTTGTTTTGTTTACTGCTGGTATTGCAGTAGCAACTAGGGGACTCTCAGTCAACATTGTTACCTCTCTGAACAGGATCCTCTAGTATCATACACAAATTTTCCTCATACCATATCATGATACCACACATCACATCTTGTCTGAGTATCCATGGTTATGTGATTGGGTCCTGGCTGATGCAAGTCAGCACAGCCTCACAGTGGCATACTGAGTGGTGGACTACTGGGACACCAGCTCCAGGTGCTCACTTAGTGGGAATGAATGAATGGCAGCCCCCTCCAGCCTGTCCCGTACTGTCACCACTGCCATCCAGAGTGCAGAGACTGGTCCTTATGCTTCTGCAGCTTAATTGAAACAAGCAGTTTACCAGCTAAGGATCTGGTCTAGTACTGTATCTATTCAGTATTTATACTCATCCAGAAATACCTGTGGGGGGTTTATTTGAGAGAGTGTGGTTTCAAAAGTGATTCACATTATACAGTGGTATATATGTTCATGTGTGTGTATTTACATTGGGTCCAAATTTCCTATTAAAAACAGATATATTTGGCAGAACGGATGCCAGGTGTTACATTGCTGAATGTATTACAGCATAAACCAAAGAAGGCAGGGCAGTAAATACAAATTAACTTTTGAGACATGCCATAGCAAATACATTCAAAACTTTATTCAGAATCATCAGTGTATAACTTTAACATATTGGGCCAAATTTGCAACTGGTATCACTAACATCAGTAGGGTTGTGGAGTTACTCATTTAAACCAATGGTGAACCTGACCCATTCCTCCAGCTTCTTCCTGTGTCAACTCTGTTACTGCCTTTCTAGTTCAGATTTTTTTGTCCTAAATTTCAAAACAGAGAGGACAGCCCTTTGGAAGTTACCTCCCATTACAACATACAGTAATAAGTTACCAACTACATTTAGTGCCGCTAAGGGTTTAGTTGCAGTAAATATACCAAGGATCTGGGTCTTAATTGGACAGCTAACTGGATATAGTTGTAGTTCTATCCGGACCCCTCTAAAGATATGGAAGGGTAGGAAACACACATAAAAGACCGCCAAGATGAGGATGGCAAGTTTGCGAGCCTTCTGCTTGTAAGAAGTGCGATTGTTGGGCCCTTTATCCAAGGTGTAAATAATTGCAGAGTAACAAAGTGTCACAATGAGCAAAGGCAAGAGGAAGGCAAACACAGTCAGAAGCAAGTTGTACCACCAGCTAGCATTGAGGTTGGTAACATTAGTAAGGTCCATACAAATGGTTCTGTTTTGTTTTTTTTTTGTGGTGATCAGAAAGCCAAGAGGACTGACAGCTCCCAGGGAAATCACCCAGACTACAATGCAGGCCACCATAGCCCATTTCTTCTTGTGAACAAAAATCCAGTTAATTGGATAGAGTACTACAATGAACCGAAAGATGCTGAAGCAACAGAGAAACAGGATACTGCTATACATGTTAAAGTAGAAATTGAAGATAATAAACTTGCACATGACATTTCCAAAGATCCAATTATTTCCATTGGCAAAGTAGTGTATCAGGAAAGGAAGAGAAGCTAAGTAGAACAGGTCGGTGATAGCCAAGTTTAACATAATGATGGTGCTGCTTTTCCAGGGCCTCATCTTGAAAAAGTACATGAAGATTACAACAATATTCACTGGGAAACACACCACAAAAATCATCCCATAAAAAGCAGAGATATAGTATTTCATCAGTAAGAAGTCTTCTTCTGTGCAGTTCATGAAGGAGTTTGCCTGTATTGGCAAAGTGGTAAAATTGGCCAAGTCTTCAGCTGTCATATTCATAGGTATCTTCTTAATGCTTTAGAAAAATCAAGTATTTAAGTTTTAATTGCTTAGTCAGTACAAATGTGCTCAATACCTCTTTCTCCATTCTCACTGCAATCTGTGAAAATAGTGTATTTTTAGGTATACCATTATGGTAGATACCCGTAGTTGCTATGCCTTCTTCAGACTACATGAGTATAAGTAATTGGGAAAAGACAGAAATGACAATTTTCGCCTGATCTGACCACAGGAAGCAGTTTATAGCTGTGACCAAACACAAATGCATGGCTGCAAACAGCTTAAAAAATGGCTAATCAGGTGAAAATCTGACCCTTCATTTCATGATGTATCAGATAAAGACTTTCAAAATGTAGTGTCTTTTGTAACTTGTGTCTATGGAGCTCCAAGGCTGTCACTGTTTTTAGAACGGGAAGGGGGAAATTGAGCAGAGGGAGTTCAATCTGAGGGGGTTCAGCCCCCTCCGGAAAGTGGAGTGGGTGTATTGAAGCCTCCCGCAAACTGGGGGGAGGGTGCTCCACTTCACCCGCCCCATCCTTCAGCACCAGTTGTGGAGCCCCAAGAACGAGTTCCTTCTGCTGCCTTTCTCCTTTCTTATTTTGAAAACAGCGAGCACGGGCAGAGAGCCCTGGCCATTACTGTGGGAACCCGGCTGCATGCTCCCAGCCCCCAGCGAGATTCCCCTCCCCCTGGAGCCAACAGTGAATGTCTGTTTGGTCTGGGGTAATGCTGCAACTCAGAGAGCTTTGCAGAAATCATCCTGAGTTCTAGCTGGGAGATGCATTTCTGTCTGCACCCTCGATGTGGTTTTGGCTTGAGTTTTGCAACATCCCTTCAGTTAGACTTGGGTTCTGGTAGGGGGAGGGGGGATAATGATCAAATTTGGATCTTATTTGAACCCTCAATGTTTGAGTTTTTTAAATTAAGGCTTGTCCTAATTTAAAGAGAGATGGGAAACCAAGTATATACATTTTGTTTTGCCAAGCTAAATACAGAAAAAGTTCAGCTATGAATCTCATGAGGTGATTCTCATCTTACTTGCATATAGGATTGATTCCATTACTCACTTTATATGAATTGAAAGTATATGGTGGGTCAAATTCTGGAATTGCCTTACACTTTTCATAATCATTTCCATCTCTCCAGAGTGTAAAACATCACCTCCTGTATTAGTGTTTTATACATACATTCAACTCTGGCAGATTCATTCCAAGATCTTCAATTGTAGGAAATCAGTATTATTCCACTGAATTTGAATTTATATTAGCTAGGAATATATCTTTAATGACTACACAAAGTGCAAGACAGTATATAATTAGATCCAAATATATTTGTTTTTCATATCTTTATGCTCTTTTAAAATAAACTCAGCATGGCATTGAATGTCTGTGATAGGGTCCCCTTTTAATAATAAAGCAGTTATATTGATAGAGATAGAATAAGGTAATTACATTTTTTAAAAGGTGGTTTTATAATTTATACTTGGCATTATTCCTTTAGATTTGAAGTGCCATTTAGCCTATTATCAGTGCGGCAATTCCTATATTTCAAAGACCAATAAACTATGATAGCCTTTCTCTCAAATGGGTGATAATTATATTTGCACCATAAGACCAACAATATGATGTTAACTAAACCGAGACTTAACAGACTTTGCTTAGGCACTGGAACTGTGTTATAATGCATTACTTTAATTTAAAATGAGGCATTTTTAAAAATGAATGTTAGTTTCATTACAGTAGTGCTCATGCCAAAGGAACACTAAGTGAATATCAGGCAGCTTATTTTAACCAAATTAAGATTTGTAGCCAAAACAAAAGCTAGTGAGAGTCTACATACTCTCTATTTCACCCAGGGCATTCTTACCCCTATAATCTATATCACTTTGTCTCCCATCAGTAATCTATAATAAAAGCAAATAAAATACAATTTCCAGAATTCTTATTCAATCCCAATACAGTTATTTGTATTTTGTTATTCACAGGATTTTTGCTGGTTTTTTAAAACCCCTCTGATCAGTTTCATGCCTTCTCCTTGAACATCTCAAACTCTAGGAGTGGAGAAATATCACTTACCTGGAAGTTTTTTGTAAGCTTGCCCTTTCCTTGATTTGAATACAGAATGCTATGGATTTCACATGCTAGGCAGATTTTAGTTTGGTTTGCTGTCATTTATAATCAGTCTACCTATGCAGAGTAAAATTTCACATACCGGCTAGATTAGAAGACTGGTGGAAGAGCTCTGTTATGGGTTTATACTTCAGCTCCTAGACCTGCCCTGTTGTAAGCATTCTCTCTCTTTCCTCTTGTCAACTTGTTTGCTGTTCCTTGAGAGGGCAGGTACAGTCACAGACATCTCCCTTCTAGGAGCAGTCTTATATATTGAAAATGGAATATTACATTTAAATATGTCTCTGCATAGGAAAATTAAGCTCTTCTTCATTTCCTGTAGGTTGATGGTGATTGCTAAGCCATGCAAGACTTGTTGCCATATTCAGGGTCAGGTGCAAATCCATATGACATGCTCTTTCTTCATTAGAATAGAACTTTATTATGAAAAATTGAAAGCTCCCTTCTGCAGTAAGTGGAAATGGCTTTCACCACAGTGTATTTAAATTGCTGTAAATAAAATATAGATGATCCACATTCATTTGTTACTGCCTCAAAATCTTTTCCCTGTGGGCTGTAATTTTCCATGCTTACCTCAAGCCAAGAGAGAATTCTTAAGTCAACTCTGCACTTTTTAGGTAGGTGAGCCATGTGAAAAAAGAAACTAGTTAAATAAATAAGGAAGCATGTGCAGTGGCTGAAATGTGGAGCCCCAGACTGAGGCCCTGACCTTGAAGCTGACCTAGACAGACACATGAATCTTCCTTCACTGAAATGCTGCAGGTTCAGAACTGGAATTACCATTCATTGGCATTTCATTCTTCTGTGCATTAAAAGGACACAGTTCCTTGTCTTTCTTTGCCTTAAGGAAGTTGCTTTGGCTACAGAAAATCATATTGATACTTTGTTTAATTGCACTGGACATTTTTAAGGAGAATTCCTTGAATTTTAAAATATTTATAGCCTAGGAATGAGTTAAAACAGTGGTTTTTAGTTTATTAATTACAGTATTGAGAAAGAGTGATCTTACTGTGATATGTGATCTAGAGATCGGTATATGTCAATTAGCAGGAATGGCTACAATTAAAACAATAGCAGCAGCAGTACCTAGCAACTGGTGCATCATCCATTGTTACTAACTGGTGGAAGGCTATTGGCATTGCTTTTTTTTCATTTGACATAGTTTTGCCCCTGACTCTTCAACATCCAGAGGATCTATTAAAAATCTCAAATTTCTCAGTACTAGTAATCCTGTTGGTCTAATAAAAGATAGCATCTCTACTACAAGTCCTGCTTGTCAGTACTAGTAAAATACATTATGGTGTGCCAGTAGGGAGCTCACAAATTGTTTAAATGGATATTGTCTTATTCCCAAACACTGTACCATTAGATATAACTTGTAAGTGGCTGTAGAGTTATGAGCCCAGAAAAAGCTAATTACATTTATTGTGTTCATTATTAAATCCATTGCACTTTTGATTACTTCTGTGAAGTATATGAAATGCTTAGACTCACTTTCAACTTCACAAAAAACAAGTCTTTGGAGAAGTTTGAGCATTTCTCCTACTTCAGTAGCCACCTTTCTCAAAAAGTAAACAGATGGCAATATTCATCAATGATGAATCCTGTCTTCAGTGATGATGATATCAAGGCCCAAACCAAATTTCTTGCCTAACTGGCTGTTGTTAACCCTACCTTGTTGTATGGGCATGCAATTTGGACTACATGTTGATAGGGACCTACTTAAACTGCAAAATTGGGCATTGTTTGCAAAATCCACAAAATCAAAAAAACCCTACTAAACATAAAATACTGGCTCCCCAGCAGGAGCCAGTGGTCCTCATGGCAGCTGCAGCCTAGCCTCACAGTCTGCTTGGTGGGGCAGCTGCTGGCACAAAGGGAAGAAGCCAAGATGGCCCTCACCACTGATTGGCTGAGAAGGCTGCCCAGCACATGGCTCCAGCTCTTTCCACCAATCAGCTATGAGGGGCTGGGCCACATGACAGACAGTGCTCTTGGTGAGAGGAGGGACCACAAGGATCCCTCAGCTGATCAGTGGTGAGGGATGAACTCGCTGCATAAAGGCCATGAAATCGGCTTCATGTGCAGCAAGCAGCCCATAAAAATGCCTTTTACTTGCCATGACATAGGTAGATCCCTACATATTGGAAACAGCTGAAAGCTATGAAACATTACCATCAGCAATGTCTTTCAAGTAGCCTCCAAATCAGTTGGAAGGACAGAAGCAAACACCACCAGCATTGAAGCTATGTTTATATGGCACCAGATCTGTTAGACATGATATGTCATAAGGATGCCTGAGAGCTGGTTCCCAAAAGAAATCCTGTATTCCCAACTCACCATGGTTACCACTCTAGAGGTGGCCAAAAGAAGAGATACCAGGATACCTTGAAGGCCAGTATGAAAGAATGCAATATTAACATCAATATCTCAGAGACATGAGCACTGAACCATCCCCAGTGACCCTGATGGATGACAAAGAATCAATCTTTTCAAGCAAACTTGCCTCACTATGAAAGCACATAGACAAGGGAGACGAAAGGAAAGAGCTGTAACCCAACAACACTAGGATCCACTCCTTTCTTACAGAACTATTTGCCATGTCTGCAGTAGAACATGCAGATCTTGGATAGGCCTCTTCAGTCATATATAGACTCATTGGGTTCATCTACATGACATACTTTACTATGCAGTAGCATAGTTTACTGTGCATAATTTACTGTGCAGTAAGCGTACATATCTAAACATACACAGACTTACTGTACAGTAAACTGTAATACTCACAAGTAAATTTGCTACCTGCAAATGCAAATGCCTCAGCCTCTACCCTTAGCCCCAGCCCCTTCCCCTTGCCCTTTCCTGGCCCAGCTGTACTCCCCTAGTCCCTGAGTTCCCCCCTACAGCACACAGGGAAGCAAGAGACAGTGAGAAGCTTTTCTGAGCAGCCTATGCCCCTGCAGTTAAGTGGGCACGGGGCTCTCACACGCTAAGGAACATGTCAGTGGTGACGGCGATGTCCTCTTCAGCTGCAGGGGCCAGGGTTGTGTAGCACAGCCCAGGTGGTGGTGGAAGTTTCAGGGCAGTGCAGGCTCACCGCACTGTTGAAGCTCAGGGTCCCCTGCCAGGTGTGCAGGAGTGCCCAGGGCACCATGGTCATTAGCAGCAGCAGGGCATAGTGGGTCAGGAACCGCTCAGTCCATGCAAACATCTCCTCAGACTGCACCTCAGACACATGCCTCAGGGGCATGGTTGGGGTGCAAAGTGGCTGCAGGGGGGCTGGCCCTGGGTCACCTCCACAGAGAGATTCCCTGAGGGGGAGGGGTGCAGGCAGCTCAACATCCTACTCATCCATCCCCCCATCCCCCCTGAGCCCAACACCATGTGCTTGGTGGCAGCAGAGGAGACAGGGTGGTCTGGAGGAGGAGGAGCCGGGGGGATTGGCTTTGGAGCCATGGCAGCAGGTGCTGTCAAGAGCCTGGCCTGTCCCAGCCTGGGAATTGGATGGGGGAGACAGGCTGCCTGAGGGAGTGAGCAGGGATGGTGGGGCTCAACCAGTGGCCACCTGGGCTCAGGCCTGCCCAATATGAATTAGTTTATTTTCACAGCAACCCAGTGGGGTGAGGTGTCAGTATTTCATAGATTTCATAGATTTCATAGACATTAGGGCTGGAAGGGACCTTGGAAGATCATCGAGTCCAGCCCCCTGCCCCAGGGGCAGGAACTCAGCTGGGGTCATAGGATCCCAGCAAAATAAATAACCATGTTTCTCTTGAAGGCATTCGAAGTAGGTGCTTGAACCACCTCAAGTGGCAGGCTATTCCAGACCTTGGGGGCTCGGACTGTAAAGAAGTTCTTCCTTATGTCCAGCCTGAAATGGTCTTGGAGGAGTTTATAACTATTCGACCTTGTCACCCCTTGGGCACTCTGGTGAACAACTGTTCCCCCAGATCCTGGTGGACACCCCTGATAAACTTATAGGTGGCCATCAGATCACCCCTGAGCCTGAGCTTTTCCAGGCTGAAAAGTCCCATGGCTCTCAGCCTCTCGTCATAAGGTCTGTTTTCCTGACCTCTGATCATGTGTGTGGCTCTTCTCTGCACTCTCTCAAGCTTCTCCACATCCTTTTTGAATTGTGGAGCCCAAAACTGGATGCAGTACTCCAGCTGCGGCCTCACCAAAGCCGAGTACAATGGGAGAGTGACATTCCGGGATTTGCTTGAGAAGCATCTATGGATGCAAGCCAGCATTTTGCTCACTTTACTAGCTGCAGCATCACATTGAAGGCTCATGTTCATCTTGTGGTCAATCATGACTTCCAAGTCCCTTTCATCTGTAGTGCTAGCCAGCGTAGCAGTGCCAAGCCTGTAAATACACTGCAGGTTTTTCTTCCCTAGGTGGAGAACCTTGCATTTTTTGGAGTTAAACACCATCAGGTTCTCATCCGCCCATTTCCTGAGCCTGTCAAGGTCGGGATGGATCACCCTCCTGTCCTCAGGTGTGGATGCTTTACCCCAGAGTTTGGTATCATTGACAAACTTGGCCAGTCCACTTCTGACTCCAATGTCCACATCATTAATGAAGATGTTGAACAATATAGGTACAAGAACAGAGCCTTGGGGGACCTCAATGGTCACAGGGCACCACGATGATTGGCATCAGTCAACCACCACCCTCTGGGTCCGACCACAGAGCCAATTCCCCAGTCAGTGGAACATGGTGGACCTGAGGCTGCAGTTAGCCAGTTTTGCTAAGGGGTGATCATGGGATACCAGATCGAAGGCTTTTTTAAATCTCCTCTCCCTTGTCCAGGTGATAGGTCACCTGGTAATAAAAGGAAATAAGATTGGTCAAGCAAGACCTACCTACAACAAACCCATGCTGACTATCTCTCAGGATGTTGCCATCGGCCAGTCTGTTAAGAATGGCCTCTTTGATAATCTTTTCTAAGACCTTCCCCAGGATAGAGATCAGGCTGATGGGCCTGTAGTTTGCCAGATTCACTTTCCTTCCTTTCTTGAAGACAGGCACCACATTGGCCTTCTTCCAATCTTCAGGCACTTCACCAGAGCGCCAGGAGCTCTTGAAGATCCTTGCCAGGGGCTGAGCTATGATGCTTGTCAGCTCCTTGAGTACCCTGGGGTGTAGACTATCAGGGCCGGCTGACTTGAAGGTGTCCAGCCTCTCAAGGTGTTCCTTCACAAGGTATGAGTCCCATTTTATAGACAGGGAACTGAGGCACAGAGAAAAAAATGTAAAAAATGCATAAAGCTTTTAATTATGCTATGCACTGAGTGTAGTTCAGCTCTTATTTTTATAAATGTTCTGTTTGTAGAGTTTTATGGTAGATGTTTGTCATTTTTTTCTTCACTCTGTTACTATTTTTCACAATTTTAAGGAGCAGTAATTAGGAACCGAAGAAAGCTAACCAATTTGACAGTTTTTGAAGCTGCCTATGATGACAGGCTCACATACAAGGTTCACATATGCAACACCTGGCACTGGTCCTGTATACAGATGAAACAGGAGTTAATAGGTAACACAATTATTCGTTAAAAAATCCC